ACAAATCAAAAATTAAAAAACAGTTAAAATAATAACACCACAAAATACATTTTTTTGTTTTCTTTTTGCTACTTTACAAGAAATACATATATATTTTGATTAGATGTAGTCAATCAGAACATTTTTAATTAATGGACATAGTGTGTGTATCAAAGAACATCTAATTCATTATAATAATTTGGAGGTAGGATTTTTGATTAAGAATGTCCAAAGGTTGCACATGGTACGCTTTCAAAAATGTCTCGTTCATGTTCAATGATAGTCTCAACAGAGGAAGCACTTGGTCGATGTACTAGGGAGAAGATAGACATTTGGCTGATGACCTAGATGGATAAAAAATGTGGGAACAGCAGTAGGCAATAAACGTTTACGGTTCAACGTTTTAGAAAAACAATTCTTCTCAAAATGTTTCTCATACAACCTGTAATTCCGATGAAGACTGTTCACATCTATGTTACTCAAATCTTCCCTATTACAAGCTCTTAACCACATGTTGGCCCTAAAATATAAAAAAAGTTGATAACAAATGTTTAGATTGACGGTAGTTCAGAAATTATATATTTTTTACATTATTTTTGTTGAAATTGTAAAAATTGTCCTCAAGACATTTAAATAATAAATATTTGGTTGTCAAATAAATATTTGGTTTTCAAATATAAAAATTGAAAGTATTTTCTTAAGACATACCTTTCTGGCTCCATGGGAAATGCAAAATAACTTGTCCCTTTGTCTGTTTACTCTGTTTGAGATGGACAATTTCAAAAATATCACACAATAAATGAAAAACTAAAATAATAAAAATGTCTCAAAATATGCACTGCAAACAAACAAAAATAATGACATATTTACATCGCATTGACACTATTGACGTTGACGTTTTTGTCGCTTATTTTCGGACATGCGCAGAAAAATATGGACCCCTCATAAAAAATGATCTGTCGCTACTGTATTGTTCTTTATACTGGGGTTACACAGTTAAAGCCTATTTTCAAAATGGTGAGAGTTTAGTGCAAAACATACCACGCAACCAAACTGTTCCATCAAATAAAGCGATAAAAAATGGGTAAACAACGTAGAACAAACAGGACTGACGTCTAAAAAAAAGGGGGGGGGTAGTGACAAAACAGTTTGAACCCCTGAAAATATCGAACGTTCACATTTTTTTGAGAATGAGGCTGAAAATGCCGTTACCGTTAATTCTGTACGATACGTTGCAATGATTCAGAATTTTCTTACACCTTAACTTGAAGGCTTTCCAGTGGATGAACACACAAGTTTTCTACAAGACGGGGCAACAAGTAACACTACAAGAATTTCAATGAATGCTGTAAATGCTTTGTTTCCAGGGCGCATCGTTTCTCGAAACGGGGATATCAGTTGGCCCCCCTCGGTCTCCCGACCTAACCGCCTGCGACTTCTTTCTTTGGGAATACCTAAAGACAAATGTGTTTGCAAATGATCCACCCAGGACAATCTCAGCTCTTAAACAACGGATTCGTGACGAGATTGCAACAATACCTCTTGATATGCTGCGCAGAGTTATGCAAAACTTTCAGGCACGACTCCAAGAATGCATAAATTATAACGGAGGACATTTGATGGATGTAGTGTACAAAAAATATTTTTTTTGATATTGTAAACCAAATGGCTACTTTCATATTTTCCATTAATGTATTAAAAATTATTTAAAAAAATATTCTTAAACAATAAAATTATTTTCGAAATCTTTCCGTTTCACTGCCGGACCCTGTATTAAAGCAATTGCTTGTAACTATTATGACAATGCTTAAGTTTTTATTTTATTCTATTTTTTTTTATTTTTATTGATTTTTCATTTTCAGTTTTTATATGATAATTTTTATTTTATAATTATTTATCATGTCACCTTTACTACTTATATTGTTAATAATTTATTAGGTTGCTCTGTAAAGGGATTTATATTTGTTGGGCAATTAAGGCTATTATTTATTATTTATTTATTTAACTATATAACAACTACCCAGACAACACACCAAATCCCAGAGATATCCACAGAATATCTTTTGTGGATATCCAATATATCCACAGGATATCAGAAATATTCCGTGGATCTAATATGGATATCCAAATGTCCGTCTATATCCAGAATATAGAAGATATCCTATGTATATTCAGCAAAATATCTAATGAGTACCTTCCAAACAATACAACAAATCCCAGAGATATCCACAGAATACATTTTGTGGATATCCAATATGGATATCCAACCAAATGTCCGTCTATATCCCAGGATATAGAATTAAGATATTCAGCAAAATATTTTATAGGTATCTTTAGTAGAGGTTCATAAGTAACCAATGATTATTGAATAACGTCGAAAGAAAATAGAGATAAAAAATATTTCCAACAATCTGCCTTTGATTTTGTCCACTTAGAACACTAAGGAGAAAGTCATCCTTATTAGGACTTAGGAAATTCTGGACTCCAGTCTCTAATGGAGTCTGATTGTGAAAAAATTTTCGATCGAACTCAATTACGGCGGGTTGAGCATGAGTAGATACGAAAGTGGTATCGCCATCTATACTTAGAAAGCAAAATCAAAAATTACATCTAGTGGATATCCACGATGGTTTGCGTCCGCGCTTAGACTTTGATATATTTAGTGGATGTCCATGAGATATTGAATACACCTTAAAAAAAATTAATTTTAAATATCTGAACAGTACTATTAGCCACAATGGCGAGCACAATGGCGTAATTTTTTAATAATTTGCTATATATAATTACTATTATTTATGGACATTTGCATGTCTATAAATTACATTTCATGGATATAAAATAGATATCCACCATGGACTGGACATTCAGTGGATATTGGGATGTTCAGTAGATATCCAAAGGATTTGGTGTGCTGTCTGGGTATAAAAGGTATTTTCTTAGTTTAACCTCGAAAATACCTGTTAGGGTCGATGCTCATGAACGTTTTTTAGCAGTCGCGTTAACGTCACGTTGACGAAAACGAAATTTATAATTGACACGCAGCGCTTCTTGTCTTCTGTCCCGAAACAAGGCAGAATAAATTCGTCTTAAGAACAGAAAATATGGATATAAGTTCGAAAAAAGAAGTGATATTTGTACCTATATCTTGTTTACAGTTTGTGAGGAAGAAGAGGATATACTTGGAATATCCTTACTTAAGTTCTCGTTTACTAAAGGTTAAAAGGTGTTTTTATATTAAGCTTTTTGACTCAAGAAATAATGATGAATATATTTTTTTAAATTATGTTCGTATGATTATATGCTCATTGATGAAGTGAATGTAATGCTTAAATAAAACAAGATCATTTAGGAATGTTTCTTTATCTATTTTAGAATAATTCTGTGTCGAATTACTCATCACCCATAGCTACTACGTTTTTCTACCACCTTTTCGTGTGCAATTTTTGATTCAAACTAATATATCTTTGCAACGACAATGTACCGCTGAGACTTGACGTCGAGAAGGTACCTTCTGACTTGATTGAATGTATTTCGACGCTACCGACCGTTGCGTCGACGCGACTGCAACAAACGTTCGCGAGCACTGGCCCTTAAAATGCGGATGTTACTCGGGATGTTATTTCATCTTGTAAATCTGAACCATGCATCACGGCATCTGCATTAAATATGTTAAAATACTCGATAGGCATTTCTTACAAAAATTACGTCAAGAAATATTTTATTAAACTTGGATTTCATGATGCGTCATTTTTAAAATACCTATGTCGTCGAGACATTTTAATATTTGGTCTATCTACATTGGCCTGGTGTAACTACCCATTTTAAAGATCAAATTTTGCATCAGTGGGTCAAGATATAACCTTTCGTTAAACCTTATGGACATTTCTTTGACCGTGCAGGACCTATTTAAAAATGTATCTATAGATTTTGGGTTTTTGTTAGTTGTAAGAAATCTAATTTTCAAGGTCATGCATGCAATCGTTAAAATAATGATTAATATTAATTTATTCTCGGAATTAGTTTTATATTTATGCGCTATCTTCAGTTATAACTTTTATATATCCGCACTTCTAATACCCCGCATGCATCTTTATATTGTACATTTTTCTTTAAGTTTCTATATATAAAGATTTTTAAAGATAGAATTGAATTACATAGCCATGGTGCGAATTCTTGATTTTTCTTAATTTTTCAAGGTTCCGGACCTTGTCCGAAGTTGCAAATTTACCAGATTGTTAAGAAAAATAATATTTACATTTTCAAGCAATTTTTAAAACTTTTGCATTTTTTCTGACAAAATTAGAGGAAAATAAAAAATGATTTTGATATTTTTACAAAAAAAAAATATTTCCATACAAAATAAAAGGTTGCAAATTGGAATAGCTGTTCCAAAAACTTGTATGAGTTATGTCATCGGTTTGCAGCACTTTGCAATTTTTTTATCTATCATAAAAAAAACTATTTTACAAAAAAAATCATGTTCCGGACTTTCAAAAAAGTATATATTGCTTCAAGTTTGCAATTTTTTTAAGATCGTTAAAATAAGTTTTAGTTTTTTGGAATTATTAATATGCTACACGCGAGGTCTTATTAAACCTTGTCCAAATCATTGTAAAATAGCCAGAGGAAAAGTTGTTTTCCGGAGGGAAGCGGTCGTTCGACTGCTTTCTGAGCCACATACTTTTCTTCTTTCTTATTTATATTTTGATCACACTTGAGTTTGGAATTATTTTGGTCATTAAAAAGTGTATTTCGAAAGAAAACATAAATGCATTAAAGTAGGCGAGACTATAGATAAATAAATGAAAAGGCGAGACCGTTATCATTTAATAACAATAGCTGAATAAAAATGAATACATTAGTTAACACATAATTGCCCATTAGATACTTCTAGCTGACTTTAATCTACTACACTGGCAATTTAGCAAAATCCGACGAATCGTGTCTTAGAAAGTAGCCAAGGCGTACATTACACCATCACAACAAAGCAGCATGCTGTTTATTCTTCGCCAACTCAAGAACGTTTAGAAAGTTTATCGGTGCCGCATATTCCTCAAGAGAACAATATTAAGAACCGTGGTTGTTCTTGGTTATCTTTGGTCAATTGTTGTTTGTTATCCGCACTTTGGTGATGTCGCTACTAGAGAGCTTTCCTCCAATTCGTGTAATTTGCATGTCGCCAGTTTCAGTCTGTCGAAACTGATCTTTTCAGAGATATTGTGCAGGTTAAGATCAACGCATCGTGAAATTGAAATTCGAAATCCGCGCTTGGATTACGTTCAGTTCACCGTCGACTTCAATTATTATTATTTTTTTTAATTTTAAATTCGAAATTAATTTTTATTTTTAATTAATAGAACTGATACATATTTATATTGAGTGTTGTATCTGGCTGTTAAGGATTTCTACCCACACGAAAGCAGGTGCATATTTTGCGAAAGTGTCATGTGTTTCTTTGGAAAAGTGCTGTTCTAGATAATAACGTAGGTAAGCTTTGTAAGAATTGTATTTTCTATTATTTTCGGTACAGTGGTTCACGCTTTAATTAATTATTCGAATGTTGTTTTCGTACTAATTATTTAATTAGCGCTATTCAAATTTTTTTTCTTATAAATGGTTAAATTCTATTCCTCTATATAGGGCAAATTTAAAATTTAACATTATAGATAATATTTTTACTATTTTGATGTTTTATATGCCTATACAATTTATGAAAAGAAAATTTTATTAATTGATAAAAAGAAAAACAGAAAAAATACCTCGTATTTAGATTGAAATATATTTCCAAAAAATATTATTTTCTTTTCTAATTTTGTTGGTATTTAATGATGGGTTTGGTTTTGATTTTAAAAATGATGTTCGTATTTTTTTTTTAGTCTGAAAAGATTATTGAAAAATTAAATTTAACAGAATTACAAAAATTAACGTTAATATACAGGATAGCAATTTAAAAATTAACTTACTATGGTTATATATATCTCATAAACCATTAAGATGATAAAATGAGCCTTAAAGCAAATAAAACTTTTAAAAAAAATATTTTACTCTTGAACTGGAAATATTTAAAAATATATAGATACTTATTTAAGTCAGATAACATCCCATCTTTTTAAATAATAGGTTTTTTATTATTTTGTACTATTGAATTACCCTGTATAGGGTATAACTTATATCGCTGAAAATTATTTTTCATTATATCTACTTCTCTGAAAACACAACCTTTACATGCCTATTTAGCGCACTGAAAATGGGCTTTTTTCGTGCAATGGCACAAGAAAAATTTTTGTGTGCCCCAAAATACGTCATTATGTAGTTTATGTTTTACGTACCAACACTAAACAATGCCTGTATTATTACAGCAGTTGTTAGATTTTTTAATTGTTTTTAAACATATAGATACGCTGTTATTTATTTTCCTTAGCAACAAAAAACAAAGCTTATATTATTAGTGCAGAATTACTGTTTAAAAAGCCCTGCGAGAGATATGAAGTGTCCTTAGCAAATAAAAAATATTAAAACACGAGAAATTGTCACGCTCCCATGGGGATAGCAAATTTTCTAAACTCGTAATGAAATATATTATTTTACTATACGAGAGACACAATGCAGGACCTCGTATGTCGCAAAATTAACATTTTTCAGGAGATGAAAAAAAAAACGATACACAAATGCATGAAACAATCCATTTTACTCTACAATAAGACTAATATTTACACATATTTTGTTCCAAAATTTTAATACTTCCCCTATACAGTAGATGGAGCAAAATGTTCTAAACAAAATTATCATAAAACGTAATTTTCAGGGGAAATGTTAGTTACGAGGTCCTGCGTATAACTTTACAATCATGTATGACAAGTAGGAGATTGCTATTTATTTATTTTTGGGATAAATGCGCTTAGGGGGTTGATGGAGCTCAGTATTTTGTCATTTAAGTCCACACTGCGTATTATGTCCTATACCCAACGTTATTTTACTTGGATCATATAAAAGTGTTTGTAAATTGGATTACAATGTTTTTATTTCGACAAAATACCATCCGAAAAAACATTATCTGTAATCAGTAAGGTATATAAAAACAAATTTAAAACCAGTTACATCTTACCTAAAGGCTATAAATAGCCTGATTTCCTGTTTGTGTTCGTAGGAAAAATATTTTACGTAACTTGTTTTAAAGTGATTTTTCACACTCGTGTAAAAAATTCCTTTTTTCATTTAAACTCATAAAATTAGTTCGTCGCGTAGGAAATCATTGAAATCTTTTTATCCAAACTCATAATAAGTTCGTCGTCTAGGCGATCATTGAAATATTTTCATCTATCAAAGAAAAAGTTCGTCGCCTAGGCGATCATTGAAATCTTTTCATTTAAACTCGTAGAATAAGTTTGTCACCTAAGCGATCATTGAAGTCTTTTCATCTAAACTCATAGAATAAGTTCGTCGCCTCGGCGATCATTGAAATCTTTTTATCTAAACTCATAGAATAAGTTTGTCGGCTAGGCGATCATTGAAATCTTTTCATCTAAACTCATAGGATAAGTTTGTCGCCTAGGCGATCGTTGAAATCTTTTCATCTAAACTAAGAGAATAAGTTCGTTGTCCATGCGATCATTGAAATTTTTTCATCTAAACTCATAGAACAAGTTTATCGTCTAGGTCTAGGCGATCATTGAAATCTTTTCATCTAAACTCGTAGAATAAGTTCTTCGTATAGGCGACCATTGAAATTTTTTCATTTAAACTCGTAGAATAAGTTCGTCGTCTAGGCGATCATTGAAATCTTTTCATCTAAACTCATAAAATAAGTTTGTCGGCCAGGCGATCATTGAAATCTTTTCATCTAAACTCGTAAAATAATCAGAATAAACCAATATAATATTAAAAATGACACATGAAACTTAATTTAATCTAATACTATGCAAATACATTATTTTAAAATTTTGTAATTTCCATTGCTATCACTTTAACTAAAAAAATTAAGATTGTCCCATTTCATATGCCTCTGTATAATGTTATCATTAAATACATAGAAACTTGAAATAATTTTATTATATTTATGTACATTGATATCCGAAAAATAGTTTCGATTATTCAAAGCGTTCCTAAAATTTATAGCAATATTAAAATAGTAGTTTGTGCAACAAGAGTGGATATGGATAATCCACTTGAGTTGTACAGTATATGTTTTCTACGACCCACTAACGAAAATCTACAAATATTAAAAATTATTTTAGGTTATTAAGATAATATAATTAATTTAAAAATAATTTATGACTTTTAGTAATTTATAAAATAAAATAAACAAGAAAAAATATTAATTTATTTTTCTCCATCTGAGATTCGAACTCGAGTCTTCCAAATATGACCTGTGATTAGTGGATTTAATTTTTTTGCAGTGTTCTCACTACCTAGAATGGATATGAAATATATTCGTTCAGTTGAAGGCAATAGCATACTTTTTCGTTTTGTAATCTGTGCGTAGATAAGCTAATATCCATGTGGGTGTAGAAAAAAAACATTTAAATATACTTCAAACGAACTGCTGAAAAATACTTCTACGGCCCAGGCCGCAAAATAAAGCGGCTCCGGTATCTAAGCATTCTGTTTTATTTTCAGTTTACCCTTAATACTGCTGGTGTTAATTTTTTTGTTATTGTAAAATAGTAGTCCCTAATTCACATGTAGGTACACATAAATAGAAGCATTTTTCCTTGGTAGGATTCCCCACTCGACCATTCACTGTTGGGTTCTAATTAACAGTGCTGTTCCTAAAGTGGCGCTGGGAAACAGTAACAAAGCCTACACAGAACACGAGGCGAAATAACCTTAGCAGTTGAAGCCGATGACACACAAAAAAAATATTGAATTATTAGAGAAAAACTAAATAAACTATAATTAAATCGATTTGGCATAAGCACAATTCTTATTAAGAATATACCTACACCTAGCTATTCTTATTAATCACAGCCATCTCAGTTATAAGGAAAATTGAACAATTAATATTTTGGATTTAAATTTATATAGGTATTTTTAAATACATTCGAATAAAAAATAATGTATAAAACACGGACGAAAAGTGTGTTTTCGGACTAAACATAGTATGCATTTAACATCCCTTCTTTCTCCTTAGACTACGCCTATGACAACAAGTCGATCGCGTCACACTTTTAAGATAAAAAGTAGATTTTATATACAGAAAAATTTACCACCCCTGCTATAGTTTATTCGAAATAAATATACGTATTCTTTATTATCGTAACTTTTTATTCATAAATCGAAAATTTTAGACAAATTAAAAACTAACGCCAAAAAATTTCCAGTGTAATCGTTGTGGTTGTCATGGCAATATATCAAAATTAGAGACTTCGATTTGTCGAAAATTTTCAGTACCTAGTAATATCCCAAGGACAGCGATAATTCGATTTTTTTTTTCACTTACTTGGTAACCTTAAGAAACGGGCTTTATTTAGGTACTTGAAAAAAATTATGGGTATTGATCACTGGCCGAGGGGTATTCGGTTATAAAAGTTTTGGCATATTTTAACTCATTTATTTAATAAAAAGTAACTTACTAGTTACAGTCGATAAAGTCTTGACTGTACAATCCATAAAGTGTTGCCAGTACATTCTTTAAGTCGGTATCATCTTTTTTTTCATATTTACTGCCCAATCCTTCAGTATCATAGTTAGGTCTTAAATACTTCCATTTGCATCTAACACATATTTTCTAATTTTATAAATGTGTATAGTTTCCATATACAAGGTGGTCCTTAAGTAATTGTCCATAGAAGTATGGTAGATTCCTCACTTTAAAATATTACGATTTAAACCAACTTGCTTTAATAAAATGTTGCTAATAAGGAATATACAGGGTGTTAAAGGTTAAATTTTAAGATTTCTTTTTTGCAATAACTTTAACGTTTTTGGATATGTAATATGTATACATAAAAATTTGAAAATAGAGGTTTTTGGGCACGAAAAATCATAATCCGGTACCTACTTCGATGTAATTTGTAGCGGGCGCTACATAGGCTACATTTGTGGCATAAATGCTTCCTAAATTTTTAAGCTGATTAAGTTAGCGGTATTTTTGTAAAAGAATATTAAAGCCACGTTATTTTAATAGAAGAAAAGTATACTTGTTATTAACCTTAAAACTTAACGGTTTGCGATATAATCGCATTTTAGGGATCAGCCGCATGATTATCATTGAAAACATTTAAAAAACAAATTTAAAAAAAAACTAAGCTAAATAACTTTAATTGTGTCACATTAAATGTTCGATATGTCCTCCATTCTCATCGATGCATTTATCTACACGTTCCATAAAAGATCGTCTCATATTAAACAACATCATTGGATCAAAAAAACGCGCTGCTATATTTATTTCTTCCCAAAGTTGTTTCATTGCACCCCATATACCGAAATCGAGAGCATTCAAGTCTGGACTACGTACTGGCCAAGGGAAATGGCTACCACGACC